CAAGCAGCAACCTGTCTTCGCCTTGACGAACCCCCACAACTTTCCTCCCACATTCCTCAACATTGTCGCGAGGAGAAATCAACTACCGCGCTTAGCACTTTTTTGGCTAGACAAGCTGAAAGTGGAACAGTCGCCTCTTCATTGCTTCTGCTCGTCGGTGAAAACTAGCCAGCAAGGGACCCCGTTTGGTCTCGACGCAATTAGTATTATACCGCGGCCAAATTTTGCTGCCAGTCATGCCATCAGTCCTCGAATTGCCAGCAGCAGCTCCTCGACATAGCACTTCAGCTCGGAGCAATAGGTCCTGAAGTCGACGCCACAATGCTCAACAGTCAACCTCTGGCTGATTGACCCCGGAATGGCTGCTTTGAATATCAGGGTGCAAGACAGCAACCCACCCAACAGGAGACGGCAATATCTTCATTCGCTCTAGCGCAGCTGGTCAGCTCGGTGACTTGTTGGATCACTGACATCAATGGATATTGACGACCGTCAGCCTCGACATGGTGGACCGCTTGGCTGCTCCCAAGGCAGTTATGGCGAAGGATGCCCTCATTTGACCGCCGTGTCCAAACCAGTGCCTCCTCTATTGAGCGGCCAGCCACTGAGCTCCTTGGGTCTGCCAATATCTCCCCCACGCTAGTTCCTGGCTGTGTGCTCATTCTCCCCCCTCTGCTGGCATTCCGAGCTTCTCCCAATCGATGCGTGGGTTAAGGTGCCTCACTCTCCGAGCATCCAGACGGACCAGATAGGCTCCTGCACTAAACCCTGGCTGGATATTGGAGATTTGCATCGGGCGAAATAGCGTGGGGGAAACACGAATGCGTTACGTCCCTTCAGTGCGCTAGACGCTGTCCAGTGCAGGGACCTGTGCCCACGTCGGAAGGCTAGAGCAGTCTGGTCTGCACTGGTTGTTCTTGATGCCAGTGGTGCATGTCAGCGCGAACCTGGCCCCTGTCATGGGCAGATAATCGAGTGCCGAGGTGAGAATGTGCTGTACAGTAGAGCAGCGACACCGGCAGGTGCATCACTATGCTTAGAAGCAAACCGAAAACCAAGGATCTCTTTTGATAGGACTTGAAACGTATTCTCCACGAGCGTCAACGTTATGTTTAAGCTACAATATGCGTCTCACTTCGAATGGGGTTTGGAAGGTAGTCTGCAAAGCTCAAAGCCATCTTGGCTCCACGATAGGCACCATGGAGAACCTGTGCTTTGCAAGTCAACTCGTTCCACCTACACGCGTCTACACCTGCCGGAGCCATCTCCAGCAGGTACTCTGTATCTCCAGGGGCGGCATGATCGGCCTTGTATGTGTGCATCCGGGATGTTGATGTAAGCGCCATAGGCTAAGGCATACGTGCGGCAGTCCGTCCGTCGTCTCTGCGGGCGTCAGGCCAAACAGTCGTTTGCGATGAAGAAACACGAGTCAACTTTCAGCGAACCTCGACCATGTCTTGTCGAAGCTACACCGAAGGGCGATAGTCCGCTTTGGCAGCCGCGTCCATTGGGAGTTTCACCGCAATCTACACGAAACCATCAGGCTTTGCGAACTACTTTACACGCACTTTACACGCTTTGACTGTAGGTTTGAATACCAATGACTTGTGCTTCAGTTTATATTCTGAGCTCAAAATGTTCCGTGGTACGTGACCATGACCGGTCTCACGTGCAATGTGCAGGTCGTGGTATTGTCGAGTTTTTCACGCCACGCCTCGACCTGCTGGTCAATCATGCTTCAAGCTAGCATATAGATGAGTTACTGATAGACTGATTTGTGAACTTAATTTAATTTTGATTGTGTTTCAATTTTTTTAGTTGTTGACGTTCCTGTGGCGCTACGTTTTGTCGACAACGGCTTGCGCAACTCAGTACAGAACATAGTCTTTAAAGGCCCTGCGGTCACATGCCAGGCCTAGGCTTCGTCGCTATTATGAAGTTCTAGAGCGTCAGGAAGAGAAATATCCATGCCTCGTTACGCAACCGGTCACCCTGCCTGACCCTAGGTTGCGTATGATGCGGTGCGAGTGATTGAAGGTGGTCCATGTAAGGATGACAGCATGTAAAACTACTCTAAAAACGAAACGAATCATGGTTCAGGTGCCCTTTAGATTGGTACTCAGTACATTGTAAGTGCAGGCCAGGCTCTGGAGCATCATTCTCGCCATGTAGACCAGCGTGGCATCTACATACAACTTTGTGACCATGGACGAGACCTTTACATGCAATGTGAGCGGCCATCCCAGGGCATGAACACACAGGCTGAGCCAAGTAGACACGAGATTCTATGAGGTTGCAGTGATTGTCGTGAATCACCGGCAGTGAAATAATCAGGTCGACATCCACTCTAGTCTCGACCAGATCATGGAGCGAGGAGTGTGTATGGCATGCCACTCGGCATGTGTGGCAAGGTGCCTTGGAGCCAGACCTAGTAATACAGATCAAGCAGTACGACCGGGAACGGCTCATTTGCCGTTTGCTTGAGTTTGGCGTGCTGAACTGTATGAGAGGATGCAAGACTCCGTGCAGCGTGCCGCTGCCAGCAGGACATTTCTCTGGTCGAACGGCGTCAGAATCACCAAAGCATCGATGTTGGTCGTAAGCTTGGCGACTCAGAGTCAACAGGGCAGCATGGGCGTCGACAGGTACGCACACTGTTGATGTTCACTTCTCTGAAGCCGTATACTGGTCGTCGGTGTGTCGTCGAATTTGTACCCCCTCCAGCTTCCGACAGCTTGCACCCCCGCACCCGTCTTTACTCAAAGGAGGCAGAAGCTCCGGTTCCCCTCTCGTCACGATCGTAGCAACCATGGTGCAGAGCAAGATCGAGACTCTTGGATCAACAAGAATACGAGGAACTGGTGCAAGTGAGCTGTGGTGCTGGGCCCCAGCGAACTCGAGCGCTCATGAGGTGGTTGTCTGTGTATTCCTTCGCGATTATGGACTCCACTACGTGAAGGATTCCGCAACACGGCAACTCGAATGTCAACCCGCCCAGCCTGGGCGCGCCCTTCCCATGACTCACTGCGTCAGTGGCTTCAGTTCTGACATATAAACAGTATGGAACAGCAACGCGTCGCGACAGAGCACGATCGTAGTCAGGCTTCATACAGCAGCGCATCATCATGATGGTCACGAATCAATTGGCGGGCAAAGTCGATTCTCATGTCTCTCGAGACCTTGCGCAAGATTTGGAATCCATTCAACACATCCTCACCGACACTTGCTTATCCATTCCTGCCCTTCGATTGCTCTTAAAAATAGGCAACCCATGTTCCATACCATCATTAGACAAAGATGATGCCATTTCCAACGCGGCCCTCGAGGAAGTCGTTCAAATGGAGCTCGTGACGGCAACGGACCCGCCGAAATTGACGCCACGGGGTGCGACCTGCACGCAAGCCGCCCTGAATAACCACGCCGGCCCCGTAGACCGCGCAGCGCCATCACCGCCGGCCGTCCGCGTCCTCCCCGGCTACCGACCGGGCTTCCTCGCCCGTTGCCTCGACATGCACATGGCCTACTACCACGCCATCACAGGGTGGGGCCTCGCCTTCGAGACGGCCCTCGCGCGCGACTTTGGCGACATCCTCGCCCGCCTCGCCTCGAGCCCGACGTCGCAGGTCTGGTCGGCCCTGGGACCGGACGACGGCATCCTCGGCACGGTGCTCCTCGACGCGAGCGGTGCCGACGTCGTGGGGGCCGCGCCGCGTCGCCGGAGCGCGCAGCTGCGGGGCTTCATCATCGACCCCGCGGCGCGGGGGCTGGGCGTCGGTCGGAAGATGCTCGACGCCGTCATGGCGCACGTCCGGGCGGCGGGCGTGGAGGAGGTGATGCTGCATACGATGGGCTCGCTCGAGGCGGCGGTGCATCTGTACCGCGGGGCCGGGTTCGTCGTGGAGAGCGTGTACGAGCAGGTCGTCTGGGAGGTGAGCCTGCCGCAGATGAGGCTCATCTGGCGGGCGGACGGCGCCGGGGCCGCCGCTGTGCAGGCCGCGGAGCTTGGTCCCTTGTGAGGCGGCGCAGTGAAGCGCCTCTTGGTATGTAACCATGCACCGTGGGTGCTTGACTGTGGAAAGGGGTGAGAGTGGTGATGCCTCGTCATGGGGATTTGTCGTTTTGCATCTGGCCAGTGATGCTGCTACGAGAATGGATGCGTGTGCACTTTTGGACAGGATAATGAGTGCGTGGAGGGACGAAGTGAGGTCAATGCAAGACCGAGAAACAGCCTCATTGAAACGTTTTGATAGAGGGGAGGTGAAACCAGGTGGCCGAATACTTCATGAATATATATCTCTTGCCATGGTGGCCAAGTCAAACCGCGCCCTTTTCATTGTGCATCTAGGCAAGGCAAGCGATACTGGGCTTATCGACGACATGTGTGATAGCTCTGCCCGTACTGCCCCCGACTGCACAGCTGTCTCCTCATCCAGCTCTGTTTATAGCCCTTCAGGTCAGGTAGCCAAGGTCCTCTGCGTGGCTTCGTATTGGGTCTGCTCAAGCAACCTGCGATCACGGCGTACCCCTATCTTTCTCCTTTTGCCGCTTACACGCTGCGCGACGTGCGTCTCCCACTTTTTCTTTCTTCTTGCCTTTTGCAGCAATCGACACTCCAAGTCCGTAACCTCGATGTCCAGCAGAGACTCCTCGCGATCGCCATCATGACACCCGGTGGTTGCGCACGACACAAGACGAAGACAGTGCCGGAGAAGACGGACGCGCTGGCTTGTCGACCAAGCTACCATTGTCATGCTTCTCACACAGTATGTCGCCCACGGACGTAGGTCCAGCTTGCATCGTCAGCAAGACACGCCTATGTTAGTCGAGAGAGAGGATTCAGAAGCGTGAGCACGCGCGTGAGAAGGAAGTGCAGACACGCCTGGTTCTCCCACGGTTGACTTGATGCGAGGCGTCGCCTGTCCGTGTCTGTCCATATATCCTGGGGGGGCATCGCCTCATAGAGGTACATTCCATGTCTGCTTGCTCCGTTTCCTCTCGTCTCAGACAGCCACAGACGTCCAGACCCAGCGCAGAAGCGACACGCTCGTCCACGCGGCGACGGCGACAAGGGCAGCCAGGGCGGCGGCGACGTGGGTGCGGATCTCAAAAGCATCGGCCATTTCCATCTTGGCCAGCTTCTTCTGCTTCGTGCGGTAGTACCCGCCCGTCGTCTGGCCACGACCGCCTCCTGCCGCGCTCGGGGGTTTCCCCCCGTCATGCTCGTGAGCGGGCCGGTAGACCAGGTGGTGCAGCCACGCGGGCAGTCTGCTGTCGCTCTGACGGCCGCGGTAGCGCATGAGCGTGTAGCGCAGATCGACCCAGGCGAGGGAGACGAGGAAGGAGACGAAGATAACGGGCGTCATGACCAGCTGGGGATCTTGTCAGTGTACATATTCATTCCTGTTGGCTCGAGTCTCATGGGCGCGTGTGCAGTGCGCTGCGGATGAAGGAACTTCATCGAGGCTTCTCGCCGCCCGCTGATGGTAACGCACCTTGTAGAGGGTCATCTTGTCGACGGCGGCGGCATCGCTGCTGCCCCGTGTCGTGGTGACTTTCGTCGCCGTGACGGATGACGACATGGCAGCCGTGCGCTGGAAGCTGGAAGCTGGAAGGAAGCTCTGGCGGGGGTGGTGAGAGGATGAGGTCAGTGGTGGGGACCTTCCTGTACCTGGGCTGGCAGGTACCGTAATGCCGTAAGGGACGGAGATGGCTGGCGGGTTGAGGCGGCAGGTGCGATTGAATATGGTAAGAGTCCAGCGACGGGAGTCGAGATTCCAATACGGCGAAATCATACTATATGACTGAAGACGTATCCGTCCTTCTTTTCAGGACAAGCTATGCCTTCCTCGTACTTCACATCTCGATTGCATCAGCGAGCGACCAGCCCAGCCCGCATCGGGACCCTCGGTTTCGGGGGCTTCGGGGCCCAGTCGCACTGACCATCCTGACGGCCGTCCCGCATCTCGCATCTCGCCTCTCGATTGGCGGATCCGTAGGGTGTCCCTAACGGAGGAGGGAAAAGCCCTGGAGCGACAATCAGGAGCAATGACGGAGCACCAGTTCCACACGGCTAATCAGTTTGTTCCTGGCCTTAGTAGGTGGAGGATCCAATGTGTGACTTTTTCCCTCCTCTTTTTTCACTCTGCTGATTCGTCTGTTCGCTATCGCACTCGCAATTGTGTCCTGGAGCCTGCAACGTGGGGTTTTGGAAGAGGCGCAGTGCGGGCCGTTCCCAGTGGCGGTGCTTCGGGTAGCAAGGCACGATGCAAAATCGTCGCTCGTTTTCACCCAAGGTCACTGCAATTCGAGGACGATGCTGCTGAGCCACCAAGGTACGACGGCTGGGCCCATCGAATCGACCTAGCAGTTCAATCCTGCCGAAGCACCGTGCCACTTCAGCCCTGTCGTGTGCGCGTCGTGATGATCTCGCATTTGATATCTATGCCTTTTTGATGTCCTCTCCCCCCTTCGGCTTACCCATGTGGCACCATCACCATATTGCGTGGGCCTGAGCACGGTATTCCCCCCCCCTTTCGCCGCAGCACGCAACCTCTTTTTGATTTCATGTGTCCAAGAAGTGGACCTCATAGCCCACGGCTTACCGCGAGTTGTGAATGTCGAGCACCAGAATATCCTGCGCACCGGCCGCCGTCAGCTTGTCCATGACGACGGCAATCTCCTTCTTGACGACCATGCAGCTGACGGCGACCCAGCCCTCCGTGTCGAGCGTTGTAACGGTCGGCGCGCGCTTGCCCGGCGTGATGCTCTTGGCCTCGGTGAGGCGCACCCTCTCAATGTTGTACTGGCAGAGCACGTAGCGCTGCGCCGTGATGACGCCCTGGATGCGCGCCGTGATGAGGTCGATGGTTGCCTGGTTCGACGGCTTGCGCGACTTGATGAGCACCGCCTGCGAGTCGACCACCGTGTCAATGGCCTTGAGGCCCGCTGCCCTCATTGTCTCGCCCGATTCTGCGGGAACAATGTCAGCATGGATGCGTCGGAAGTAAGCAAGGCGAGGAAGAAAAAGAAGAAGAGGGAGAAGAAGAAGAGGGAGAAGAAGAAGAGGAGGAGGTAGAGGAGGCAGAGGAGGCAGAGGAGGAAGACACCCACCGACGAGATCCACAATGCCGTCAGCCACGCCCAGCGCGCACGCAGCTTCGACGCTGCCGCTGAGCTCAATGATCTTGGTCCGCATCTTCTTGGGCGTCGCAAAGTCCTCGCCGTTCGGCTGGCCCTCGAGGCCGAGCTCGAGCCGGGCAAAGTGGTCGGCGGCGAGGCCCGAGAAGCTCGTGCCGATCGTCTTGCCGATGAGGTCCTCCGTCGTCGCGTAGCCGCCCTTCTCCGGCACCTGGACCTGGAGCTTGCAGGCGCCAAAGCCGAGCTCCATGACGAGGTCGCAGCCCGCCGTCTTGAGGGGGTCCTCGGCGTTGTCGCCGGCGCCGATGGAGGCCCGGCGCGAGCGGTTGTAGGACCGCACGTTGGCGTCGTGCTCCTTGACCTGGTCCCAGCCCGTGATGCCGAGATCGCACTGGCCCTCGCCGACAAAGGTGGGGATGTCGGCGGCCGGCAGGAAGATGAGCGCGATGGGCAGGTTCTTGACGAGGGCAATGTCGAGGCGGTTCTCGCGGCGGAACTGCACGTCGGCACCCTCAAGCAGGTTGAGGGCGGCGGCGTTCAGGCGACCCTCTGGATGCGTGGTGGTCAGCTGCCGATCGGGGACGACGGGAGAAGCGGAGGGCGTTTGACTCACTCTTGGGCACCGCGAACAGGAGGCGGCCTTCTAGGCTTTCCTTCACCATCAGCTTTTCTAGTCCCTTCTTCATCATGGCCTGACTTCCACGGCGAGGACGACGAGAAGAGAGAGGGGGGAGGGGAGGGCGGGTGCGACCAACGAGTTGACGAGATCCATGGGGGGCTATGGTATGTCCTTCTGGGTGTCACCGGGGACAAGTGGTTGCGCAATTGCCTATATGTAGGTGTGTTGTATTAATCTCGCAGGACTGGCTTTCGAGGGTCGAAATGGAGTCGAGGGTACGAGGCACAGAGCACGACACGGTGGGGTGAGGCCAATGGATGCGATCCGTGGCTGCAGTTCGAAGGCTAGTCGGCGTCGGACTCGAAGGGGGTCTGCGCGAGTTGCACTACAGGGCAAAGGCGATGCGCTGGTCGAAAAGGGTGGGGGAGGACAATATGCAGGCGGTCAGCTCTGTCTTTGTAGAGAGTTGAGACGTTGTCGCGGGAGGAGGGGGTGAGGGGGCTGTGACTGTGTCGACTGCGACTGTAATTGCGATTGTGACCGCCGTGACTGTTCCTGGCCGGCCTCGTCTTTCTGGTGACTCAATCTCGTTAGCACCGACTTGAGGAAGAATCTGTGGTAGTGGCCCCCCAAAAAGACCGAAACACGTTGGCCTATGTCGGAGCTTGATTGATCGATGGCGGGGCAATTGTGCTCTTCGTCCTCCATGTGAGGTGGACACAGTGGACCGCCGCGGGGCACTCCGAATCGGTGACGGCCGGCAGTTTCCTACGGTGCTCTGTAGGCATCGACGGGGCACGAACCTGGGTTACCTAAGCCTCCCAGCGCCTTGGTGCCTGGCAACACGCCGCTCACTGAGCTTCTCAATGTCCAGCACTGAGGTAGGTGCCTGCTGAAAGAACCTACCTCTGAAGGCCCAGAAGGACGAACCCCCCCCCCCCTTTCTTTTCCTTGGGCCACAGCATCTTCCATGACATCCTACCTTACCTACCTAGGTATGTTGGTAGGTACCTATGTCGGTACTGTTGAACACGGCACTTTGCATGTCCTCGAATCCCCTTTCCGAAGACAATTAGGGTCATGCTGAAGCGCGTCAACACAAGGCCCCCTCCATCTGGGCCCGCCTCAACCCCTCCCCAACTCTGTTAACATACCGTGCATGCCGAACCTTATTACTGCGTCGCACTGCCTGAGACCTCAAAGACAATGGCGGACCCCAATCTCTCCCCCTAGAGTATCCCGTACAGCAGCTCTACACCTCAGCATCCAATAACATTTTCGTTTTCTCGACCCGTGTTCTTTCGAACCCACGTCAGCTTTCACCTGCAACTGGAGTGCCACGTAATTGTTGAGCGCAAAAAAGACTGGGAAATTGGTTGACTCGGCTGCGTCATGGGTGCTTTGCTAGATTTGAAGCACTCCTGAAAGAATTACGGCACGGACACCTGAACTGGCAGCTGCGGGAGCTCCACCCTCCCTCCCGCCATGGCTGCTGCGTTTCTGACGCCAGCCTCGACCTCGAACGCAACACTGATTCCTACAGGCGCCCGAGACGCAGAGTCTAGCGACGCTCACTACCTCTCCGTCGACTCGGGAGGACATTCGACGCCCATCCTCACCCCGTCGCAGTCGAGCAACGGCCAGCCCGACACCGATTCGAACCCAGGCTTTGATGACGACTGGCACCCATCATCTGCGACTAGCCATCCTGGTGGATACGCGGGACCCACGCGCCGCCCATCCAGCCTCGACCTCGACCTCGACCGCGACCGCGACATTGACCGGCGCGCCGGCGAGGTCATTGACGGGGAGCCGACAATCAATCAATCGATACGCGAGGAGACATTCGCAGAAATGTCGACATGGGCGGGGCAGCCCCATATCAGGGGGAGTTCTGAGGCGATGCGCATGGTTCTCCTGACCTTCAACGCCATCGGCATCACGTAGGTGGAACCCAGGTCGTGTGCCGTGGCGACAGCTAGCATTGACCCGTCATCCACAGCTTCACATGGGGAGTGGAGATGACCTGTGAGTAGCAAGCACCGCGCGAACCTGGCGCCCCTCCTCGGCAGATCACATGTTGACCTTGCGAATCCAGACTGCACACCGTATCTCCTGAATCTTGGCCTCACCAAGAGCAATACTTCGCTTGTGTGGATTGCTGGGCCTCTGTCGGGACTCATTGTTCAGCCTATCGTTGGCGTCATTGCTGATCAGTCCACCTCAAAATGGGGTCGCCGGCGTCCTTTCATCGTCATGGGCTCGATTATTGCCGCCTTGAGCATGGTCGTACTGGGCTTCACCCAGGAAATTGTGGGCTTTTTCGTTGCTGACGAGAAGTCTGCCCGCGGCTTCACGATAACGCTTGCAGTCCTGGCAATCTATGCCGTCGACTTTGCTATCAATGCGGGTGAGTCGACCCCATCGCATCCCGAGGACAGTATGAGCTGACCAGTTGCCCAGTCATGTCCTGCGCCAGGAGCCTGATCGTCGACACTCTACCCATCGAGAAACAACAAGCCGGTGCGGCATGGTGTAAGTGATTCCCCCCCTCTAAAGCCAAGTACTGGCCGTGTAGCTAACTCGGCGCAGCCAGCAGAATGTCCGCCATGGGCCATATGATGGGATATGGAGCGGGTGCTATTGACCTCGTAGGCATGTTGGGGACGACGCTTGGAGACACGCAGTTTAAGCAACTGACCCTGATCGCCACCTTCTTCATACTCTTCTCCTCGGGCGTGTCCTGCTGGGCGGTTACCGAGAGGGTGCTCGTCTCCACCCGACCAGACTCTCGCAAGCCTGCCGGCCGTTTCAAGGTCTTCAGCCAGATCTGGTCCACGCTGCTTAACCTGCCCCCACGTATCCAGGCCATCTGCTGGGCACAGTTCTGGGCGTGGATCGGCTGGTTCCCCTTCCTCTTCTACAGCGCGACCTGGGTCGGCGAGACGTATTTTCGCTACGATGCGCCCGAGGAGGCAAAGCACTCCAAAGACATGCTCGGCGATGTCGGTCGCATCGGCAGTACCGCCCTCGTCATCTACTCCACCGTCACCCTCATCGGCGCCTGGATCCTGCCCATGGTCACAAAGTCGCCAGACGACGAGAAGTATACGGCACGCCCGCCCCAAGGGCTGGCTACCCTCGCAGAAAAGTTCAGCAAGCGCAAACCCGACCTCATGACCGTCTGGATGGCCGGCCATCTCATGTTTGCGAGCGCCATGTTCATGGCTCCCTTCGCCGCCAGTTTCCGATTTGCCACTTTCCTCGTCGTCATCTGCGGACTTCCTTGGACCATTGCCATGTGGGCGCCCGTCACCTTTCTCGGCGTCGAGGTCAACAAGCTCAGCGGCGCCACAGATGCTGGCGGCCCAGCCTACCGCCGCCTGTCCAACGCCGATGACATTGAGCTGCCAGCCATCAGCGCAGACCACGCTCTGCATCTGGAGCATGGGTCCGACACGCCTGGCGCTTCATCGTCAACGGGCGAACTGTCGGGCATCTATTTCGGTATCCTCAACATCTACTCAACGTTGCCGCAATTTATTGGTACCTTCATCAGCACCATCGTCTTTACGATCCTCGAGCCCGGCAAGAGCCCCGAGCTTGCCAAGGGGGCCGATCCCGCTGAGCATCATGATACTGACGGCCCCAACGCCATTGCCGTATGTCTCTTCATCGGCGCCATCTCTGCGGTCGGCGCCGCATACGCCACTTCGAGGTTGAGATATCTGTGAAGACAAAGGTGCCATGAGACAGACGCCAAGCAAAGATGGAGTGAAATGTACTACAAATATGAGCACTGGTTATAAACGGACGGGACCGTGTGCATGCCGCAATCTTGTACCCACCTATACACGGAGTTGGGAGTCGCTAGATAGATCTCGGGGGCAAAACCAAGCAACCAATGTGGATGGAATTTCCATGGCATGAATCCTTGACATTGTCTCGCCAAACGAGTGGACTTGATATCGATATGTACTGTAGCCCGCTTCCTGCCTCCTCTGTCTCCCCCTTTCTACCTCCCAAAAGTCGGAGCGCCAAACACTCTCGTCGCGGGTCACTGAAAAAAAAAAACGCTCCTGCCTCCACCATGGAACATGCAACAGAAAAGGAGAAAGAGGAGCGCGCATCGCCGCATGTTGAAGGGGGGGGGGGGCAGAGGGTGTTTTGGTTGGGGGTATCTCGAAAAGGCGAGGCGCTGCGCAACGGGGGGTTGGGGGGGGACAGAAAGCGTTGGAGGAGAGGATGAGAGGATTTTTTATTTTTTGGCGCAGCTCTCTCTCTCTCTTTCGCCGACCACAAGCGTCGGAACTACTTAACCTTTT